TTCTATAATATTTTTTCTTATTAACTTCTAATTAAGCCTGAGTGATTTTTAGAAGAGATAAACTGCCACATTTTTCAGTATCATCGTTCTTTCTTGGTAGAGAATATCAGGTCTCCATTCTACTAATCTAGCCAGGAAAGACCCTCCAGTTTGATTCAGGGTAACAATATTTAGTTAGATTTATGCCTCTTATAGACATCATTGAGAAGGAAGAGCTAAACAATTTGTACAGCAAATTATGTACAGCAAATACATAAAAATGTTCCAGAAATGAAGAAACTAACATTTCAGATTTATACAGTTTGACACCAGGTAAAACATGAAGACATAGCTGAGGTTTTTTAATTTGCTCAAGGGCTATGTTTGTTATCCCCCTAATATAGTACACATGCTACTTCCAGCCTAAATTCTTAACCACATCACTTTCTGTGGGCGGCATGAGAAGGGGAAGAGGCATGTCTCTAGGAGGTGCATATAAACTGAGCCCTGTTATTTACAAATTCAATAAACTGATGCTTATAGTGATGGAGTGGATCTCCCAGAATGGAGGGCACTGGACTGAGCAGGAGGGGTCAGCATTCAGGGCTTTATCTCAGCCTAGAGGCATCCCACTGTGCTGGCAGCTTGTGGTGGTGGGAGATGGAATGCTGCTGTAGGATTGTGCCATGTGAACACAAGGAAAATGTGAAAGAACATGAAGTTACCACGTTACCAGGATTCAGAAGGTGTTTGGTTAAATCCACACACAAAATTGTTCCTAAGTTGGGAGTGTGAGAACAATCTCTCCTCTGGCCTTAGAGATCTAGAGGATCTGGAGGCCAGATAGAAAGAGATCTAGGGGGTTTCTGTGGACAGTGAACTTGAAATGCGCCCATTTTTTATGTTTCATTGCCACTCACCCCCTTTCAGTAGAGAATGTCATGTATAATGATTTCTTTTAAAGTGTAAGTAGCAGAAGAACACTTTTACTATGACAAATTCCTATCTCTAACACAATTTGCTGACATTATTTCATCATTGCTATTTTATCAGCAAACCAACATCATCCTGTGGTACCCCCTATGTCCAAGACAGTGGTCAGACTAGGTACAGCAGCACCACTGTAATCACCTGGGAACTGAAGCAGCAATGACACATAGCCTCAGGCACGACCTAGAACTCAGATCAGCTGCAGGAAAACATTGCCAGTAGCAAGTTGGGTAGCAAGCTTACAAATTTGTTCCCAGTAATGTTTCTCGTGCAGTAAACAGTGCCTATTTAAGGTCGCCCATCTCTTTGCATTTTATCTCAGCTCATGAGATTTGTATTGTAGAATTTTATAATTAAATAACAGTAAAGATAAAAATGCAGGTATTTTGATTTTATTTATAGCTGTGAAAGCATGCTTTACAATTTATCATTCAGTCCAGGAATTCAGTTATCTTAAGAGGAAAATAAATTTTTCAGTGACAAGTACCAGTTACGACTAAAAACTCTGCATTTACCACCAATAAATCTAATCTACATGCATTAAAGAGGACAATTTTGCTGACGCTTTTTTATTACTTGGTTCCACTGTAATATTTCATCCATTTCAGTATATGCATGTAATCAAAATAAAGAAGTAACTGAGATATCTCTGTTTTCTGACATGGCATTTTTAAAGATTGCTGTCATGACACATTTATTTGCTGTAAATTATAGTAAATAATTTTTTGTATCATAAATAGTATTTAATTTGTTACCCAGAGACACAAGATATTCCATAGACATGTTACAAAAGAATGGTAGGTTGCTTTATTGATGCACATGGTGAAAGGAGAATCAAGGGTTTGGTTTTGAAAAGTAACTCACCTGCTCCTAAAAAAAAGTTTCACATGTCCATCAAGGAAAAGGTTGAAGGCAATTCCCTGCAAGTAAGCAATAGCTATCAGAATGCATTAGGCAGGACTAAATCATACACTACCTTCATACCCATGACCTTCCAGACACATTTGTAGATAACAATGATTCTTCTGACAGCAGACACAAATCCTCACAGTTCTGTGGGCAGATATTTCAGTTCTGCATTGAAACTATATTTCCCATAGCATCAAGTCAATCATTTCTGTAAGACAGAAATTTTGAGTTATGCAGCAGTACAATGCACGCCAGAGCCTACACTTTGCAAAATATAGCCGTGATCTTATAACACTCGTACCAAGATAAGTTTCTTCTGTATGGCAGTTGGAGAATGGTCTAATCTGGGCCCAGTCATCAGTGTCTGGCAGCAATAAGGCAGCAGCTTGAAATAAACTGCCAGCTGAACACTCTGAAAGGAGCTTTCTGCATCCAAACTTTCAAGACCTAGATGTTCCTGTAAAAGAGATTAGTAAGTAGATTGTGGAGACAAAACAAGGACACATAGAAGAAACAGCTTCCTAGAGCACTTCATTTGTTTGTTTGTTTCCAAAAACATCTACTGGTAATTTGGTGTGAGAATACCTATGAGTTGAATTTGTAGCTTTTACAGGAGTCCTCTTTTGAATATATATTGATGTTAAACTGGATTTATGGGATTACCAGTGTGTTTCACTTTCTTCTCAGATATTTGTAATATTAGAAAGGTTAGATAAATGTTTGTTTACCATCATCTCATTCTACATTAACAGTACAAGCCCTTTCAGTCTGGGTGCAAGCACAATGAAAAAAAGTAATAAAAGGCAGATTTTGTAAAATACTTAAAATGTTATATCCTGGCCACACTCCAGGAAAAATTGCAGGCTTTATATAGAGCTATGCGTTCTGTCAGCATATATATTGTTTTGTGACAGAGTTTAGGCAGAAAAGAAGCAAAAAAATACCCATGGGAGCACTTGCTGAGATTTGCACTGTCACCTTTGTGCTACCAGCTTTGTCCATTGATTGCCCTGCCTTTATCTATAACTGGAAGCAGATGTTGGGTAACTCAATGGCACTTTAACTCTCTTACCTGTGTGCTGGTGCCCTGCTCCCATGCCCCATCCACATGCTGCCAGAATAGGGCAGTGTGGCTTGGGGTCCAGTTCTGTCATCTATGTCCCTGGCATGAAACCCTCTCCACGGGAAAGTGGGATTTATAAGGTGTGGCTTCAGTTCAAAAGACCTCACAAGTATCCAAGGAAATGGCAAATGCTGAAAGAGGGGAAGGGAAAATAGACGGGAAATTGCTTCATGTATGAGTAGAATAATTCTGGAAGTAGGTGTTTGAACAAACTCATCTTCCTTCTTTTAAAAATTTACTGCTGTCTGGAGATAAGCCTATCCTCTCCTTACTTCCATCAGGGAGGATGCATCCATAGCAATGTTGAAAAACCAGTGTCCTGTTACCTCAGTATTTTCTTTTCACCTCTGAAGCTAAATGTCATCTGCATGTTACTGACATAATGTTCTGTTTCTTACCAGTAGAAGGTGAGGATGTTATGAGAAGACCAACTTTGGGAATCAGTGTCCTAAGATAAAGACTGCAAAAAAGCAGGAAGGGTTAAGGGACATCACTTTCCTCACAACACTCGAAGAAGCACCTCCAAAATCTTGTGACAACAACTATATTTGGTTCTCAAAAATTCCAAAATAGGCTCTGTTATTTCAGCTGTTTGACTGGGAACTTAGTCAGCTGATAGCCAGAATAACTCAGGAACTTTATGGATCTGTTTCTGGATTATTCAAGACGCTGAACAAAAGAGAGTATCCAAAGGTTCTTGGAGACCTGGAACTGTGTGCCTGTCTCCCTTTCTTGTCCAGCAAATGTTTCTATGAGATCTATGTCTAACCAGGCAAGGATTTGAGGACTGTACCAATTAGGCTTAGAGGAGTTTTTCTCAGATAAAAAATTTCACTAATTCCAATGATTCATCATCACTAACTGCTTTGGGGCTTGCATGCAGAATTTTTCTCTCTCCCAGTTTTAGCAGTACATTAGAGAGATTGTCACAAAATTATTTTCCCAATGTCCCCAGTAAAAGGACTGGAAAAACTGGCAGTTTAATGCAAGCATTTCTAGATTACTGGGATCCCTCACTGTTGAATATGATCAGATAGACACTGACTGTGGCCATGGATGCTCAGTGAGTGCATGGTGCTGAGCCTGCTCTCTGGGAACTTTCCCTTGGTGAAGTCTTTCCTGCAAATAAAAGACAGTCAGGGTAGTTGCATGATTTTTCTTGGTTGTTGTTTCACACTGTGTTAGCTCCAACTTGGGATGATACATGTTTGACCAATGCCAGGGATTTCACAATGTTACATTTGGGCAGTGGATAGGATGAAGCTGAAGTTGAATTGGAGGATGTTGTGTTGTGTGTGGGAATTGTGCCTTGTGAAACGCACATTTTGGTGGACTGGCAGATACAGAGCTCTCATATTGTGTCAATGGGAAAGTCAACTCAGAAATGACTGGGAGATTTTGAATCTTCTTATAAATGTTTCAACTAATGCCCAAGTTGCCCTGAGATCACAAGAAGGTGAACAGAACTGAAGAAATTAATTATTCAGAATACTTTGGCAGGCATAGTCTTTCACTACAGCAGAGAGAGAAGTTTGGCATTTGAAGAGCGTTTTATAACTATTTTTCCTTTGCTCTTAGAAAAATGCTTTAGCGCCTTTAGAAAAAGAAATTACCTTAAGAGTTTCAGACTTGTCTAGAATGCAGTAAAGAATATTCAGCTATTATATATGAAGTTTTTCTAAATTGCATTTTTTCTTTCAAGAGGGCCCACTAGAAATACAGTGCCTTGAAAATTCACTATTCCTCTTCTTTGTTAGCTCCACCTCCTATCCTCAAATTTGAGGATAGGAGATGCAGCCCCAATAGTGTAACCCTTTTCAAAAGTTCATAAATTGAGGCAACGAAATTATTGTGGGACTTTATGCTAATAACTCACGTTTCAACACAAACATATTGTGATAAACCTTGTCAGTAAGAAAGTATTGATTTAACTTTACACCTTTTTATTTTCTTTTTTTTTTAAACATCAACATGAATGAATTTCTTTCTGTTTCCACAGAGCTAGAGGCAGAGGAGTGGTGCAAGCATCTTTGCATGGAATGTCTAGGGGCCAGGCTCAATGATATAAGTCTTGGAGAGCCAGATTTGCTTGCTGCTGGAGTCCAGAGAGAACAAAATGGTAAGTAACTTTTTATTTACTCCTAGATCCGCTCTTAGGTGATATTCCATTTCATCTTTTCTTGTGCCTGTTGTTGTGAGGACTTTTGCTAGTAGCTGGAAGCACATCATTAGTAAATAAACATTTGGATGTGCTTTTGAAGCTCAAGCCTATGTTATTTTATTTTATTTTTTACAAATAAAGATTATTAAATTCCATGCCAGATAATACATGTAGAGTGACTTTGTGTCTTCATTGTGTTCAGATTTCCCTGTCATGGGAAATGGTGGCCATGACCCTTCTGTTTCTGGAAATGATGGCTTCTGTTCAGAGGAATAAAGCAGCAGCTGTTGTTTGGCAGCTTTTTAAGGACAAAGATGAACATACCAACAGCTATTTGGATACAAAACACATATTTGCTTTAAAGTCCTACCTGTCTGGAATATTGAAGTCAGAATCATCTAAATGCTGTCAAATATGGGTGAAAAGGGCAGAGACAGATGTTAGTCAGCGCTAAGCCTGAGTTGTAAGTCTTCATCTAAAGGCTATTTGGATTAGACACATGCAGGAAGAATGCTAGTGGATGGAACAGGCAATAACAAAAGAAAATCTATGATTACCCTGTCATTTAATTCCTATTAATGAACACGAGGGCAACACAAAATGTGCTCATTTAGTCCTCCCTAAATTACAGCTCTCAATGATTATTACTGTCTTGATGCTTCTATAAGATCCAATAGATTTCAACAAAGTAATAACACACACTGCCTCAATGGTCATAAAATATCAAGCCAACCATCATTATAAACAAAATTACGTAATTAAATTATAGAATGTACGGCACTATACTCATTATATTATTTCTCTGAACCTAATAGCACACAGCATGAAATATACAGAAATCTTTAAGGAATTCTGTTCAAAAAGCAGACATGTTGAAATGGGATTTAAAAGAAGTTCAAATGTTCATAAAGTTGTTTACCTGCTATGAGACACAGAATTCAATTTGTAGTCTCAAACTACTTAACAAAGGGAGAGCTACTAATGTAGAAAAGTGATAATGATCAGACAGCACTCAAAGCACCCCATCTGCTATATGTTCATAGGCTATAGGTGTAAAACTCATCTCCATGCTACTGAAGAGAGAACTGTGTGAACAGGTGGAGGTCTTTCACAAATGTGAAAGGAAATAAACCTCGTCAAAAAGCCTGGGATGTGAACAGAAAAGTAGTTTGAAATTCGTCAAGCTCTTTCTGCAGGGAATTCATGTAATTCATCTCCAGCAGCTTTTGGACATAGATGGAAAATATTACATTTTATCATGTTCCTGAAAGAGATCCAGTTAGATACACATGACCTCCAGGAGGCATATATTAGTTCTGTTGTATGAACTAGTCTTGATTCAATTGCCTTAGTCTAGAAATTAATTGCAGTGTTACCAACCAGCATATATGAACATAATTAGCATCTTTATTGTTCTAAGTAAATAAATGAAAGGAAACAAAGGGACAAAGCATGTATTTGTTGTACAAATCACATGAATAATAATGCATGGAGGGTATCATTAGCTGTATTCTTTTAAAACAAGTGACTGAATACATATAATCCAATATTTGACGAGCATGCTCTGCTAAATCATTAGTTACAGTATCTCAAACAAGTAATTCTGATACCTATCCTCATCCTTCCCTCATCCCCTTGATGCACAACTTTGCATTTTAATAAGCATGTTTGAAATTCAAAGTTGTCTTGTTCAGAGGCAAAACAAATTCTGTTGTGGATGTCTTTTAATCAACTTGGAAGGAGGAAAAAGTGCAGAGATTCTTACTATAGGTATGAAATTTGACATCTTTGCTTTATCTATGCTGTAAGAACTTGCAGTTGCACTCAAATTCCTGTAGCAGATTTCTTCAATTGAATGGAACCATTCCTTCAGTTTACACTGGTTATCTTACCCTGCAAACCTGGCAGTGTCATTCTCCACATAACAGTGTTATTGAGAAGGTGACTAGTTCCAGGGTGGAATGATTTGGGTTGCACCATTTCAGATTTTTAGTTTATTTTCTTGCACATTTTCCCCATACACAGCTTTTACACACATGCTATCAAAAACAGTAGGTAGTTCAAAAGATGCCTCAAAAACTTTTGAAAGTCAACTGAGCTTTTGCTTATAAATGTTCTTGTTGAGCTTTTGTTGACCTGAAACTGAAAGGTCAAAGTAAATTTTACAATTGAAATTTCATGGACAATGGCTATGTGTATGAAGCGTCTAAAATCTGGCTCTTTGTGAAAATGACATCTGTGTCACTCCCTGGATAACTTGTATTTTTATGTGTTACATAAAAACTGAATATCAGTGTAGTACCTTTGAATGTCATTACTTCAGAACATATTGTGAGTGTGTCAACTTCATAGAATTCCTCTCAAGTTAGTCAATTTATTAATGCTTACTTGAGGCAGAGATGTGAGAGTACAGTTTATAAAACATGTAACAGTCTCACAGCCTCAGCATCCAGTTTTATGCAAGTTCTGTTGCCTGACCCATACAAAAGCTTTCTTTCAGATCACTGAAAAAACATGTCTCTTACTCTTTGAGCAAGACCACAGATTGTAATAAATATTATAGTGCTAATGGGTTTTCAGTTTTGGATATTTTTTTTTGCACTTTTAAAGGCTAAGAGACATTGAATAATGGTGTCATACTGTTCAGATCTCTATGATATAACAGGTGCTAATGCATTAATCCCAGAAGAACAGGTGTATAAAGCATTATTTGCATCCCATTCCACTGAGGTTTTTTTAAATAGTCACTTTTCACTAAAGATTTTCTGAAATGTGTAAAATTTGGTAAAGATACCTCTTTGGACTAGAAAAAACTAGCCTAATAAGGTGAGTTTTTTTTCATGAACTGCTTTACCTTTTTCAAGAGATAATATTTTTAATATGCAGTGTTCTTCATGTATTCAACTACTTGCCCAATCTTGTTCTTAAAGGACATTTTAATGTTGTAAGGGTACTCAGCAAACATATCAGATAAATAAATTGGCTCTCTCTCAAAAAACCTCTAACTTTCTGATGGGTAGATTTGTAGGTTTTTTTCCTGTATGTGACCACCAAAGCCACTACCCTCAATGTGCAACATTTGAAATAATGTTTCAGAATTGCCATTGTATATGCCTACTAAAATTGTTGCATGCTACTTGTACTTTTATACACAAATAATTAAATTTCAGAAAACATTTGGTAAAGAAAATATGCATGGTTTCTCTCATTTGTTTAATTCCTCTTTTTATTATTTCTGAGCCTGTTTATTCCCCCAGTCTCACTCTTGTGGTCCTTCTGAGATGAGCTTTAGATTTGAGAAGGGAAGACACCCGATTCTCTTTGGCAGGAATGCAACAACATGGTCTGCAAAAGAAATTTGCTCCAGAGTCTGGCAAAACTGTTGTTTGGTGTGCCAAGGCTGTACAGTCACAAGGCAGTTCTGCCACATGACAATAGAAATCTAAAGAAATACAAATCTAAACCTGAAAGGGGCATTCTTTTATAGCTCTGGGGTGGTCAGTAAGTGTCCATGGGATCTGTTTCAGCGTAGTTGAGCTGTTGTTTGAGCCTCCAGCACTGAGCAGTTCCGCAGTGATGACAGCAAAATGAGGCAAATTGTAGAGCTACTCTGCTTATAGCAGAGGGCTCTGCTGCTGTGTCTTGTAGGAGAAGACATCTAAGCTACTCTTGTGCAAAGCTCATCAGTAACAGGAAGCTTCTCACTGGATTTCAGCTCCATTATTGCTTTCCAAAGTATTACCTCAAGTCTTGCTGTGTAAACTCTGCTGCAGAAAATGACTATTAGGTGGTTTTCATTTGAAATTTAAGGCTCACAACTAATGGCTGCTTAGCTTGGAATGATGCACAAATTCCAATTAAATTGAGATGTGAAATGAAGCTTCTGTTGCTCTCCAACCATTTTACCCACTCTCTCCTGCAAATCTAAGTGATTTGTTGGTGTACCTCAGCCCTATAGCAGCAACCTTGTTTCTGTTTAAGTTTCTTTTCACACTGAACATGGTCTCTAGCATTTATGAATTTCCCTTTAGATTATTTGCTAAAGAATTAAAATACAGTATGAAAGAAAAAGCAGTAGAGGCCTCACTTCAGGTAATTTATTTAGTATATACCTATTCAGGTAATTTATTTAGTATAATGGCAGTGAAGCTTTACATGCAATCATAAGACAAATAATAATACACAGTTATAACTCCATGAAAGAAAATCTGGACTGAGTTGGATCTGGTTACACTGTTGACAAGTCTTCTAAGCAACATGTTGTGATTCTTTCATGCACATTTCATAATCCTTAGGTTTCTCAAGCTGCTGCTAGATGAAGAAGTTGTGAATGTAGAGTGTTGACTTCATTTGGAAGAACTGGAAGCTCCCTTTCCAGCTCTCAATGCATTTGGAAGCATTTGCAATACACCCCAAAACAAAATGACAGAAACAAAGTTGGAGGTTTTGGTATTCTTTTTCAATTTTTATCTCCCCAGGTGATGTCATATCTAGAATTTCTCCATTCTCATAATGGATAGTGTGTCCAATGTGTCACTATTTTCATTCTTTATAAAATGAAGCAATTTGAAAGATGTCATCCAAATGGACACTATACAATAACAGACTATATTTAATGTGAAAAAGAAATCAGACTATTCCAGATAATGTTGGTTAAAAAAGCAGTATGTGTAGACTATTAATCAATTCACTTTTTAGGAGCGGGTGCATCTGTTTGATGAAGATTCTATTTCTATCCATTTTAAATACTAAATAATAGCACTAAAATAGTTGAATACTTGTACTAAATAATTTTCTATTAAACTTTTCTTGTACTAAACCATTTTCTATTAAACTTTACTTGTAAACTTGATGTAAAACTTGAAGAAAATGGGCAAATGTTAAAATGCAAATTTTTAAACTGAAGAAAAGGCCAGATCCACCCTTTGTTGCTATATCTTATTTACTCCTAACTCAATCCTGTGATACCAATATGAGGCTTTTTAATTATGTGTTTTGAGGCTTTATTTAAAAAAAAAATTACTCCATGATAAACATAATTTTTATTTTCAAAGTCTGGAAAAGTTTGAGAGATAATTGAATTTTTGATTTTCCTCCTTGCCTAATATTTAAATTAGTATTTAATAAAATTACTTCCTTTGTAAGGTTTTTGTTCTTTCATTGGTTTTACCTTCCTTTTTTATTTAAAAACCTTCCACAGGAGCAGCAGTCTTGCTTCCTGGATTTTAATTGCAAGAAAGTCATTAATTCTTGTTAGTAAAAATGTAGCTTTTCATAGTGAACAACGTCCTTGAATCCTCAGAAGAGGATTATGAGGCATTTCTTTGTGCTACATATTGAGATTACAAACGACAGCCAAAGCATAGAGACTTTGTAATTACATTCACTGAGCTGACTTGTTTTAGGGCATTTTCTAGGGTCTGTAGAATATCTGTAATTTAATACATAAAAGCACTTTGCATGTATTTTTATTCATCTTAATCCATTTTTATACAATAGGTTTGTTTTTTGGGTTTTTTAAAATAAATGAAACACAGTTTTATTCAGAAAAGCAAGGTGTTTTCAGTTTTAATGTTAATCCAGTGAGACTTCAGATTCTTCTCTACCTTACTACTTACCACTGAAACAATTTGGAGTATTTACCTGCCTTTTTATTTTTTTATTGATATGCTTACATTTTTAATGAATGCAAAGCAGAATATTTATAAGCAAAGGAAAAAAGGTATTTCTTCTGAAATCCTGGTTCCTCACTGCATACAGCAGAAGGGAAACATTCTAATAGCCCTGAGATATGAATTAACACAAAATGCTGCACCTTCCAGACTTTAAGCTCTCTTTCCACCTGAAAATTAGCTGCAGTTGCTCAGCAGGAGAAGTCTCACTGGTGGAGGAGTTTCTTTCACATATAAATTGAATATTTTCTTTCAAATCCTCTACTTATTTATATAGGTGCCACCAACCTGACTGTCACCTTCTAGAAGTAATTTTTTACCCATCGTTAAAGCTGAAATGAAACCAAGCATCTGGATTGCAAGATTGCAATGTCATCTGGTCGGTTTTCCAGCTGGGATGATTTAACCAAAGGAATCCAGTGATAAAATGGCAGCATCAGGATCACTGGGCTCCCATCATTTTGCTCCCCCAGTACAGCTGGAAGGCCAAGAGCATTTTGGAGTTGCTGCCAAGTCTCTGTCTCAGTCAATATGCTCATTTTCATAAAGACTCTTGTGTTCCTATGCCCTGGAAAGCATTATTAAATGTCGTATTCTTGCCAAAGCCCAAATGCTAAACACCTTTACATGCACTAAGTGTATGATGAAGCATTGCTCTGCTTATTCAAGGAGATGGGAAAGAGCAGTCACATTGAGTGAAATAATAAGTGTAGCAATATATCAGCATTTTTTTCTCATCCTGGCTCCCCTACTCCCTGAACTTTGCTCTCACCTGTTTAGGGAAGGGAGGAGGATAAGAATCCTGGATGCTGAGGAATTGTGCCTATTCAGCCCTAGTCTTACCTTGTCCAACTATATCTCATCTACTTGTTCGGTTTCTTCCATCTCCCTACTTTCTGGGCCCCTTATTAACTTCTATTTGCCTAGTTTTACTAGCCAATGGACTGTTATTATCTCATCCTACTCATATGCAGATGGTATCTGAACCAAAGAGAAGCAAAATCACCTATTCAATGTCATTCAGAAGATTTGGTGTCAGAATTCAGCTGGGATTCCCAAATCTGGCCTATGATGAGTGTTTGTTTTTGCCTGGATAAGTGTAAGGGCAAAACATGCCTCTAAAGATGGAATGACTGTATTGCTATTAGCTAGATACCTACTCAAATATTTTCTGAAATGGAAAAATTCGACCCTGTATGTTAATTAATAAAACCATTTAATAGTACCTCCACCTTTCCATGTCCTCAGCTGCCCATTATTCAAAAGTATGGGTTTTGTTCTAAAAGCAAATCTATCCATCCTCAATCTTCTCCAGCACATATGTTTGTGTGCTTGTTTTTCTTGCCAATTTGATTCAGTTCCAAGGGTGCTACGTTTTGCCCTGCAGCTGATGTTCACTTTAATCAGACATACTTCCTTTAATCCCTGACATCTCACCTTAGACACTGACCTCCCATGCAAAGTCAGCAAATGTCTCCTGACAGTTTGAGGATACCATATGTCCTGAATGCCCTTCATGCAATAATATCCTCAAACACATCAGAGAAGTTGAGCATTTCATGACTAACCTGGTAACATCTAAAGCAAGTTGAAGTATTTTGTGTCTTCCACACAGCAGTTTAATGTTAACTTCAAAAAAATAATTGTACCTTTTCATTTTCTCTGCTGTCTGAGGCATTCTGTCAGTGAAGATGGGGAAAGAGAGAGATTTTCATTCTCACATAGTAACCCCATCCCCCATGGATACACTGTTATTTCGTGTCATGCAAGAGAGAAAGAGCTGACAGGCCAGTTACTGCATCTTTCTTTCAAATAGAGGAGGGAAGTGGCAATAACTGACAGCACAGCAATGCAAAGCTAGAGTCTAATACATGATAAAAGTACACTGAAAACCTGTGAGGAATTTCTGCATGATGATCCCAATGACATATGGATACTGAAAGGGTGCATACACATACATATAAATATATAATTGCAGTGCAAAGTGAAAGTTATCTTGTTTACCACCATTCCCTTCCCAATTTGGTCTTTGGCCCACTACTCCCAAGTGTGAGTCCTTCCATTTAGTTTGGAAGGCATTACATTACACCCCTGCCCCATGCACTCCTCTGAGCATTTGGGGGAATTCTCCTCAGGGATCTCAGCAGCCTCTGCTAATCTACTTGTGCTGTGTGTCACAAGGCTTTCACAAAATGTCTGGGGTTTCTCACATGGGACCCTAGTCATAAAATTAAACTTTTAGGGCTAAAACCCATTAGTGTGACTAATGAGAACTTGGGCCTGGGAGAAGAGGTTGTGACTGAATGAATAAATTGGGGAGCCATTAATAGGACAAAATAAATTGACTGAAACAGAACAACATTAGGGATGACAAGTTTACTTATAGCTATGCAGCAATTTTTATTGCTCAGCCAGCAGTTCCTTGCTTTCTCTAATTCCTCAAACTTTTGCCACTTTATTCACACACACACAAACTCACACACACTCATATTTTATATCAACTCTCGCAATATTTTAACTGTTTTGTCAGAAACATATATCAAATGTTTAAAAATTAGAGACATAATGTCTATGATACTGAATTTCAAACAGAATGGGAAGCTAATTTTGAGTGTTGCAGTAAATTTCTCTCACTTAAATTTAAATTCCTTCCTAATTTTAGGACACTGTGAGAAAATTCAGTTCCAATGGTGGATTAAAAATATTTAATCCACCCTTTTTACCCTTTAACCCTTTTTACTTTATCAAGTAATTGGAGGCAATTTTCCTATCAGTTGTCCCTCTAAAGAACATTTTCCTAATAATGTTATTGAATAAGCACTGCTCATGCTCATACTTTGAATTGTTCTTACCTTTTTTTGTCAACACCTTCAGGCAGTAGAATTGACATTTTGCATTTTTATCCATTTCAAAGATGAAAAAAACTGTGACAGGAAAGTTGTCAATGTACTGCACTCTCTCCCATATGATGCTATTAAGCCCTAATATTGCAATGCATGTAGTGTTAAAATATAGGCTGGCACGTCCAACTGTACAACCAGAAATTTAACTCAGTTTTTCATCCTTTGTGGAAACAACTCATAGGAACATTAGTTATTCTTCAAAGAAAATTGCATTTGTATTTAAATTTCTTTCTAATAAAATTTACTTCCTTCCATATGACCATATGAGTTAATGGTGTTTTACATCACCTTGGTTTTTGTTTTTTCCTGTTTTGTTTTTTTTTTCCCTTTTTTTTATGATTTTTTATTGCATTGCTTATTAAATCCCATGCAATTCAGGCACTTCAGAAAATTATTAATGCCCTTGACCTCCTACTGCAATAAGTGCACTTTGCAAGCAAAGTGCAGCTGACAGTGATTGATGTCATGACCATAATAATATATCATATTGAATCAGATGTTTCAAGAAAGCAACAGATGATTAAAATTGTTATTAATTTTGAAAATATGAATTACTTTGGCAAATAAACAGAAACTGAATGCAAGGAATGTAATTATTTACAAGCTTCAACAAGTAAACTTGGATTTGCAATTTCAAGGACAGCTTTTCCAAGAGGCGATGGCTGCACATACATATTTTTTGAGGATACCTTTAGTTCTATTCTTTGAGAGAGGAGTCTCTGTCAGAGTTCTCATTATTGTGAATTTTGATTTTTAAAGAGTCATGGACCTTAGTGTGAGGGTAAAAAAGTGGATCCTCACCTCTGTTAAAGCCAAAAATTTGGTTTTGATTTCTGGATCATCAGAACTAAAGACCTTTTTTCTTTTTTCTTTTTTTTTTCCAGTTTTAATAATTTATTTCATTTCTATTTCCATTTTTATTTCCCATAAAATCTTACTTTAACCTGTGATGTCTTACTTTGTGTTTTTTTCCAGAACGATTCAATGTATACCTTATGCCTACACCAAATTTAGATATCTATGGGGAATGTACAATGCAGATCACACATGAAAACATCTATCTCTGGGACATCCACAATGCCAAGGTCAAGCTGGTCATGTGGCCTCTGAGCTCTTTGAGGAGATATGGACGTGACTCAACGTGGTTTACATTTGAGTCTGGAAGGTAAGAGCTAAGGAGATGCAAAAAAAAAAAGGAATAAATGAACAGTGGGTTGGTTTTGGTTTTTTTTTAATAAGCAGTCTGATAAATTAAATATTCCTCTCCTTATAAAGCAAGACAAAATACGTGGCCTCTCCAAAGACTTCCCTTTGCTGAATATTCCTTTACAATATATCCATGCCAGTGTTTGAAATAAACGTTAATATGTCTCATATTAAAAATGAGCTTAAGCTCCCTCTGACTTTTATTTAACTGTGATTGAAATGTCATTCTTAAGGTTTATGAGTATCACTGTGCTTAAACACTAGTATGGTATGATTTGAGTACTTTTGATGTAGAAGAAAGTAATTCTGGATCATGGAAAAGGCTCATCACACAAGTATGAATGGAATAACTTCCATTACAGGGGATATTACTCTTTTCGGATGTTCCTGATGACTGATTGCCACCCTAGAGTATAATTGCCAGCAGGAATGCAGAGAACATTGTGATCCAATAAAAAGGGTAGCTTCTTCTCCTGCCTGCAGTTTTAATCCTCATTGCCATTTCATCTTCAGATCAGTTTTAAATTTCCATAGAGCTCTGTTTTGTCTCTCTTTAATGCATTTCATATCTTGCCATTAGGTTCACTGCCATTTCACCATTTTTGCACAAAAATAATTCTGCATTTAACTCTCCCTCTGGTGGTGTTTCAACTTGTATTTTATGGTTCTAGACTATTTTTTTATGGTTCGGTTTGGGTTTTTTTATGGGTCATCCATACTCCTTTATGAGGAGCCTGAATGTTCTGAAACAATCTCTGAAATTACAGGTATCTCTACACTCTTGGGCTAGACACACTGAAATGTTAAAAAAAATCTTTATATGCTTTAGATGTTTACTTATTCAATATTATTAACAAATATTCACAAAAGTAAAGTTTGTGATCAGAAACAAACCCATGGATCCCCTACTGTCTAAGGGGATAATGGCCAAAATTCCTCTGCCATTACTACAGCTAAGAGTTACCTTTTTACCAGTAATTTGTATATCCAGAATGCTGTCACTAGACCATTTTGATTCTCTGTTAGTTTTCTGTGATGAGTTCACATGAAGACATCACTGGATTTTTTTATTTAATTTTTTTTTTAAATAGCAAAAGTTGACCCATGTTTCAACTTGATTTCAATGATTAAGCTGAGGGGCTTATTGAAATACACAATTTTAGCATGAATTAGCATTTCAAGCCTCCTACAGTGTTTTAATTCCATTTCAAGCCTCCTACAGTATTATAATTCCATGCTAGTATCTGAATATCATCTGCTCCTACAGTCCATGAACCACATGACCTGATGAAAAGTGGATTGTTTTCCTGTGTTTTATTATTATGAGATAGCTCTGCCTTTATCTGTCATGCTTTATTGTCTTTGATCTGATTCCTCCCTTTTTGCTTGCTTGGGAGTACTTTTTCTATCTGATTTGAAAATGCATAGAGGTAAAAAAAATAGGGCTAGAGAAAAGTTGGTATCTTCAATAACATCTGAATGCTATATAGGGCAATAATAGCACTCATTTTAAAATCTGTTGTTGATTTGCTTGGGGTTTTACTTTATTTTTTAATCAACAAATCATCTTTCTCCTCTTTCTGAACATGATTTGCTTTGTTCCCTGATCTGCTAGTACCTTAATACAATAAATTCCTGATGCATGTTGTTTTATCAGAGGTGAAGCACTCATCCATGTTTTATGAGAATGTTATGCAGTAAAAATGTTGTTGCTTTAATTTTTCCCTAAGGCTTAAATATTAAATGTAGGCAATTGCTTTAAAGGAAATATTTTTGAATAGGTTATTATGTTTCAGTATGTTTTAGCAGATATCCAGTATATGTGTATGAGGTTTGCATGAACATTAGAAGCTTGGTTTTATATATTTTGGTATTACTTTGTTTGAGAAAATAAATCCCTTCAATAACATAAATGGACATATTCACAAAGAAATACTACGTTAAATAAATTGATCAGAATTAAGCTTTTTGACAAATTTATATTTTAAAAAATATATTTCTTTTCATTTAAATGGAATATGAACTTGGATGTATAAAACTGAACTGCCCACTTGTCTAATGAAATGCCATGACTACACAATTTGAAGAATGTCTAAAACATGGGAGGAATGAACTCAGATTATTTTAATCTGCAAGATTTTTCTGTATGGTTTTGCACTGAATTGGAGTAAATATGTACCTTGCACTATCTATGAAGTTAGACTTGTCCTCATTTTTTTTAATATTTATTGAAGCAATGAAAGTATTCCTTGCTCAGACATTTCCCTAATCTGTCTTTTTGTCTATCCAAACCCTGCTGAGATATGGGGAAAGAACCAGTTTGTGTGGCTTTGTTCAATGCTGGATGGAGAGATTCTCATTACCTAAAGCACCTGATTAGGGCTAATCCCATGAAATCTCTTCACCTATCAGAAAACAGTCATTCACAGCTCCATTAGGCACTACAATAGCTTTGTCTGGATTAATGCTGTTTATCTAACACAGTAAATGGATCAGAGCACATGAGGTAAGAGCATACCATTTACCTTTTTAACATCAAGGCTTTCCAACTAACCAGTCTTGTTCTGGATCTGAGAGTTGTGCTGGTTTTGGAAGGGTTAATTTTCTTCACAGCAGCTGTTATGGGGCTGAGTTTGGGATTTGTGCTGAGCACAGGTTGGTAGCCAGGGCTGTTTCAGTTGTTGTTGAGCAGAGCTTTCACAGAGTAAAGGACTTTTCTGCTCCTCACCCCACCCCACCAGCAAACAGGGGGTGCACAGGGAGGGGACACAGCTGGGACAGCTGACCCAAGTGACCCAAGGGACAATCCTATAGTGTATGGCATCGTGCTGAGCACATAAAGCAGGGGGGAGGAAAAGGAATAGGGAGGACATTTGGAGTGAAGGCGTTTGTCTTCCCAAGTCACTGTTATGTGTGGTTGAGAGAAGTTTTCCTGGGAATGGTTGAACACCTGTCTGCCCATGGGAAGTGGTGAATTAATTCCTTGTGACATTTTGCATGTGCACAAGGTTTTACTTTACCTATTCCACTGCCTTTCCTCACTTTTACCCTTCCGCTTCTCTCCCCCATCCCAGCGGGGGAGTGAGAAAATGCTTGTGTGATACTTTGTTGACAGCTGGGATTAAACCACAACAGGAGTTTTAATGTTTAATCATCAATGATTCACAGGATTTCCTTAGCTTATGGATGTATATAATGTGTTCAGACACCTCGTTCTCATTATTTTGGATATTGGATACATTGGAGGAACTGTGGAGTTGACCTGCATGGGGGCACTTACTTCTCTTCAAACTTTTGGAAGAGCTGCTCCATGTACAGAGGTTAAATTAGCCTTTGACTGTCTCTGATGTTAAGCCTCTGAAATGGGAGCTGTGTCCTTACAGAGCTGCCCACCCTGACTGTCCACATGAAGTTGCTCTTAATTTGCAGGGGATTGCATTAAGTACATGCAATTTAAGAAACGTGCCAGAAAAGTAGTAAAACAGCTACAGGGGAAACATTTCATAGTCCTGATCAGGTGTGAAGACATCCTTTTCAGTCTTTTGTCCAAATTACAGGATTCATTTTGGTGATGTTGTAAGCCAAACAATCACCATTAAAAAGAAAAAATTCTTACCATAATAAAGGCCATAAACAATGTTTAAATTCCACTCTCTGGTAACTACAAAAAGCAGTTGTCCAAGCTTTCCTTTTGGCAAAACAGGCTGTCTGAGGCATCTTTTTGGGATCATAAGAGGATACTCCCAAGAATTCAGAATTGAGACACAGAGAAAATTAGGCGCATATGGACTCCTTGTTCATTTTGAAGTGTTTTTTCTTTCACTTTACTGTAATTTTGTCTTTTACATTATTTTCTATGTATGGAAGCTGTCTGGTCAAGTGTATTAACTGGCTAGAAATATAAAAAAAGAAGAAGCTGAAGTCAAGTTAAACATGGTGAGAAAATGAGGGGATGGGCTGTGGAAGCTCCAGCCAAAATTTGTCAAATTCTGTGAGTTTCCAGCAGAGACTTTGAGGCAGAAGGTTTTTTTCTTGGATTTTTGAGAGCAGAAGGAGCTGTAAATCTATTACATACTCCTTTTTCTGAAATACATTTTCTTTTACTTTGTAGACAAGATGTTTAAATTTAAACAATTTCAAGTATTTCCAAGTAATTCATGCTGTGCATTCAAAGAGACTCATTGAACCACACTAAATTATTCCTTCTTTATTTGCCTTTGATTTAGTTTTTTTGTTCATCAGAGAAAATTTAATGAAATATGGTCTTCTCTATCACTTCTCAGATCTGGAATCTGTTTCTTTGGTTAAGAAAAACATTAAGCTCAAGCATTACACAGTGGCGACATGAGAATTTCTCAGATTTTTTTCCCCGAGACTGATATATTCATTTTCTCTGTGGTACATACACAGATGCTAGGGTTATCTGAAGCAGAAAGTTCACTGTTTCCTTCAGGCACTACATCTGACTGAAATGTTTCATTTGTCTGTCAGTCCTCTGTGGTGATTTTTGGTGTTAATATGAAATGTATTAGTCAATTAACCCTTAAAGCTCAGTCACAGTTAACATGCTCTTTTTTGTTTATGTGGGAGGAGGCCCCTCATGCATGTGCCTCGTGAGAGAGCTGTCATGGGACTTCATACACTGCTGTACATGCCTGTACCTCCCTGAACACAAACCTGCAATTCCTGATTGCTGGTGGATTATCTATATAGTGGATTAAGTTTATCTATCCTGGGTTTATGATGGAATTATAAATCATATATTTTAAATCATTCTAAATATCATTAAAAATCGTAAGCTTGTGATAGAATTTGTGAGTCATTTTGGGTAGAGCAGCAGTATGAGCACTTGTGCAGCTCCAGTAGATAATTAATCATTTCACATAAACATTAGCTCAGAGCTCTCAGTATCCCACACATTAAATAGTTAAGCTTGCTAGGATCTTTTCCTTCTTTTAC